GACCCGTTCGCCTCGCATGACAAGGTGACTATAGTTCTGCGCAAATCACGACAGGAAGCGTTCGCAGCTGCCGTAGCCACAGCCACCCACACGCCTGACTACTGCCAAACGCAACACTTTTCTGCGTCCTCTCACTTCCTGCTGTTCTCGAAATTTGACTGCGTGTTTCGTTGCGGGACCTCGGTAGCGATGCGAGCGCTACAGCTTGATGATAGTACGGGCGACGTGTGGAGACGGCACTCGGGTATCACACCCCTGCGGTCCCGACTTGCGCACTCTTGGACGGGGATAGCGTTACATTTCTGTAGCTGCAGATCCACACATGGCAGGGAGCATCCTCGGGAGCGAGGGTACAGTTTGTCGTTGATTTGGGTTTAATGATCCATGATTGACAAGTGTCAGAGTACTTTTATATCACCTTATCACGTGGTAGTGTTGTAAGGCTATGGAATGAAAAGCCATCGAGTTGAGAAAAGAAGGAAGGGGCGCTCTTACGGACAGCACACTCTCCCTAAAAACGCGAGGTGAGGTTTGGCGAACGAGAACGAATAAGTATAATGAGCTTTTTATGGCGAACTGTAACCCATGTATCTCTTTTGTGAACGAAAAGAGGAGGAATGATGCTCCCACCTGACGAGTATCAGCTTGACCCTGTATCAGGAGGGGGCGGGCTTTACGAGGATCGTTGTTTCGGGGTGTGAGACGACGATGAGGGACGGGGTCGTCGTCTGGGAACGAATACGTCTGAGACGACGGCCCAAGGCTTTGCACGTAACTCAGCAGTCTTGTGATGAGTATCGTCATTGTTTGCAGCGCCGGCGCCGACGCCTAGGAAGACATTCCTGTTGAAGGAAGGACAAATGCTGTTGAACAAGTTCAAAGTTGAAGGTCTTCTAGCTGACGGAGGTTTCGCTCAAGTTTATGCGTAAGTACTAATCATGACTCATTGAGAGCAACGAGTAGGCCGATGAAAGTGTGTAATCTAATCATTGAAGTCTTACAGACTATTGAATTACCGAGGGATTCCTACTATATATAATCCGCTAAGTATGTCTGTCTGTCTGTCTGTCCGTGTGTCTGTCACGAAATTCATAGCGACCGTCCCAGTAGCTGTGGGAAGTTGATTCCAAGGAGTGATATAGGGGCTGTGACGGGAACATTATCGGTGAGTGACAGGGAGTGATATCAGCTGATAAGATCTGATAAGAGGCGTCAGAAGGAGGGTCACCGAGCTCATAGTGCGGGACACAGCAACAGTGGGACGTTAGTTCCAAGGTATGATATAGGCTATGGGACAGGAACATTATTCTCTCCCTCTCCCCGCTCCACACCTATTCTTACCAGAGGAGGGAACTAGTAAGGGGCGGGGAGGTGGTACGGACTCGACCAAAATCCGCAATCAATGATGTGCCGTGACCAAGGCGCCCCTGCAGTTTGCAGCGTTATATAGCAGGTCCTCGCGAAGTCTGAACGCTGTGTCCAGATAAGGCCAACGCTTGGGTGTTAAGTCTGTTTTTCAGTGCTGTTCATGAGGATACACAGACCCGATGGGCAGTGAAAATCGAATCGGAGAAATGTGACCGGAAACGCATGAAACTGGAGATCATGGTGCTTATGCTACTTCGAGGGAAGGTGCTCCTACTTAATCTGTTAGACTACTTCTCGCTAATTAGTGTGGGTGTTTTCGTACCAGCAAAACGAGCTCAAGAGAGGTATAGGCGGCTCTCAAATAGTTGTTTTGGAATTGCAGGCAAATATCCCAGAAATCATGGCGATGGGTACATGCCCCACAGGACATTTTATCATTCTGGAGTTGGTGGGCAGAAATCTGAGCGACCTTCGTCGTCAGTTGCCGCAAAGGAGGCTCTCACATGGCACACTTTACAGAGCTATGCTTCAGGTAATATAATGGCGCTGGTGTCCGTCAACAGACTACTCGTCGCTGTTTAGGTAACCCATGCGCTGTCACTCGTTCATGCCATCGGATTCCTTCATCGTGATCTGAAACCGTCAAATTGTTGTGTTGGCGTTGACGATCTTACGCGTATCTATTTACTTGATTATGGTATGCATGCATGCAAACAATTCTACAGTCTGGCGGCGCCAGACTCGTTTTCACGTCGTTTGGAGCGAGTAAGGCTGCGTTCATACTTTGCGGCAGCGTCCACCAGCGACCATAAGCGCTCCGAGTGTCGAGCCGCGTCAGTGGCTAGGAAAGTGTAGGTATCGATCGGCAGTGTCTGCCAGCGTCTGTAATCGTCTACCAGCGTTCACGGGAGTGGAGAGTATGGGAAAGTAGGAGGGTAGCAAACAGCTGGGCGTCGTAAAATTGCGGCGTGTGCAACCGCACCGCACAACAGAATTATGCAACTTAGTGTATTGTGTAGCACTACGCTGTGGCACATGCCGCCGTTTCACCAACTTGATCCAGCTGTTTACAGTCCTCATCATTGCGGACCGGTGGGGCGTGTCAGTGCGGCTGCGTTTGGCGCGGTGCCAAAGTCGTTCTGCACCAGTTGTTGAAGCGGGCAAGTGACATTACTGTATTATATCCTTCGTATTACTCGTTTTCTACCACTTTTTGTCGCATACGCGTTTCAACAAAAAGGCTGAGAACGGCTTCAACAGTGTGCACACTCATACTGACACGCCCCACCGGTCCGCAATGATGAGGACTGTACTTCCTATTTTTCCCAATTCTCTAATCCCGATCGCTGGTGGACGCTGGTAGATGCTGGCAGGCTCTAGATCGATACCTATACTTCCCTAGCCCCTCTGACGCTACCGGACGCTCGGAATGCAGCCGCAAAGCATAAACGCAGCCTAAGACTGTGTCACATCGCTCGCATCCATCATTTTCTACCGTTTGTTGCCGCCTGCACGCTCTAACATTTGAGAGAGAACGAATTTGGCGCCGTGCCAACCCACCCCGTCCAGGGCGCCCCGTTCATGCCTAGCGAATCGGACTACACTTATATCCTCATCACTGAGGGTTTTGCGGAGTCTTTCAGGGCTCACTCGACAGTATCTCGATAGTGCCGGTCAAATAAGGAAACCTCGTGAGAGTATCGGCATGCGAGGCACGCTACGTTACGTGAGCCTTGAGGCGCATGCCAGACACGACCTGGGACCGAGCCACGATCTCGTCGCTCTGCTTTATTCTATAGTAAGTCCACCTGGTAGTTGTACTATATTTATGAAATGGATCTCGCACCTTCAGCATTTGTCTAATTATCTGATGAGCTCTTGAGGAACGAGGGACTTGAACTCTCACCATTCCAAAAAGTGATCTTCAGATAGAACTTGG